TTGCTATTTACCCCGACCCCTCTCTTTCGATGGGCTTATTCGACTCGGGCCTCCAATCCGGATCCCTTCATTGTCTCATAGATCCGTTCCTTATCTTTCTGGTTGACCGATTTCACTCGGGTCCAGTCCCAGTGTGCATTTCATTCCAAGCGCTAGAAGCAGGTACACTGTCGCTTCACTGAGTGGAGCGCTTAAGCTCTGTTTGCCATGCTTGTAGTTATCAGGCCTTCCCTTCACGGTTCCTCTCCTTGATTAAACCAATGTTATCTGAGCAAACTATGGACCCCTATCTCTGGTCGCATGCGGCATCTTAAGTGAATTCCTAGTTTATTTTGGCCAGTCTCTGACGAGTTCGTAGCTTGGTGCGGAGAATAGCAAAGCTCACTGACGATGTCGACTACGGTGCCGGCGAAACGTTTGAGAATGTATCAAGTTCACTGTCAGATGCTGCGTTCTACATAGTCGCCCTGACAACAAGACCAAGTTGCGACAACAGGATCAACCCATTTTTTTAACTCGTTAATTGATGCAGATTTTTATGTTCCTAATTTTTTTACTACATACAGGGTGATATCAAATAGAAGCCCGTCGCTTACCGTGTCAATTGAAAACAATGATAATGAATAATTGTAAAGATACCCCTTCGGCTTTTTTTATCACGACTTTATTATTAATAGGACTTTTATTACCTATCAACAATACTAATTTATAATTATTCGGTTGCCTCATAAGCCAGCTAAACTATGTTCCTATCAATTTACTTTGCAGATCATAGCCCTAATGGTCTTAGTCTTTCGGGCTTTCCATCGCCGACAAACGGTTTACCGACCTCCGTCAGTCCTTCTTCTCCTCTCCCTAGTGGAGGCATTTGCATGCCAGGCCACGCCAGTCCTCTGGCGTCCGGACTAGGTATAATTTCTGGCTCGGTCACTGTCACAACTGCATCAACTGGTAATTGCGTCGTCAGCACTGCTGGAAATATTTCGCAAGTGGGCCAGGGAGCGGTGTCGACCGCGACAGCTTCTGGCTCTGTTTCATCGAGTACCAACAACTCCAGTCCCTCGAATTCTAGTTTTCTGCGCACTGTGCCTTGTCCACACAAGGGCTGTGGCAAGCTTTTTCGTGACAACTCAGCTATGCGTAAACATTTGCATACTCATGGTCCGCGAGTTCACGTCTGTGCGGAATGCGGCAAAGCATTTGTTGAATCAAGCAAGTTGAAGCGGCACCAACTTGTGCACACGGGAGAGAAACCTTTCGAATGCACATTTGAGGTAAACTTTAGCCGCCAAAACGGTTTTTCTTATCCGAGATGTATTATTTTTAGTCTGTCTGCTGGTTTGCTTGGCTCCACTGACTTTTTTTCTGTACATGCATAATTTTTTAGATACTACTTTTCCAACAGTGCCTTAAGATACCTATTCCTCTGCGCTTCATTTTGTGTACAAATCTGACTTGCTGGAGCTCCGAGGTCAGTTATGCCACGGCACGAGGGCCAATCGTCTTAGATTTACCACAAGTGTAATTGGTTAGGTCGTCTGTTCCACCTAAAAGGATCTTTTTTATACCTACTTGTAACGTTCGTTCATATTGTCTACTTATCTCAGGAAAGTTTAGTACTGCTTCATCGGAGTCAGATAATCGATTTTCCTGACATTGTGGGCTCAAAGCAGAACTTCATTCAAGGGCTGCTGTGATCTATTTGCATTATCTTGTGAGGCGCACCTTTATATTAAACTTTTCACGAGTTCGACGACGCTAAGTGTCCTTTTTACCTATTTTCCACTATGACTTCCTCCTAAGTTTCTATTATTATATAAAATTTTGATTATTTATTTTTAATCGTCTATTAATAGAATCGATCAAATGTATGATTTCTATCAATCGATCTTTTAGGCAATAGTTTGTTTGTCCACCTTTCGTTGAATTATTCTATTAAATTTCGAATTCGCACAATGAAATTCTCTTAATTTTTTCATGCTTAATTTTTGGCTGTCTGCTTTTATCTTATATC